GATAAAACTGCATTCCCTTTGTGTCTGCTTTCATGTCTGGTGGACAGTGAACACACTTGTTAACTTTTGCACCTTGTTTCAGTAATTTAGCAGAAGGCAGGTATTCGGTAAATGTGATAGGAATTAAAAAATAAGGTAAGAAACAAGATAAGTGGAAGAGTAATATAAATGAATAAATTCAAGAAAATGGGCATGTTTTTGAATGAAGAATACTACATATTCTTAAAGAAACTTTATTATATATAACAGGATAGACACATTATTCTCTAACATTTCAACTCTTGTATCATTAACCATGCTAAAGCCAAACACATCTTTTTAATTATGAGAAGGAACCGACTAAATGAAAGTTATGTTTATCATCTATCTACTGTATCTAACATCTATATAGATTTTTGTATCCAACAACACCTAGAAAATTTTTAGTGTGAAAGTTATGTAAGCATTCAAATGATGAAGCTCAGAAAAAGAGATGGTTAAATTAGTAAAGAAAGTTATGGGGTAAAAAATCTTGATAAGCGATTCTGGACAAACAAAAACTTATAAAACAACATAGGGCCACGGGTTTGCTTCCTTTCTGAGTTACCACCTCATAGAAACTTTTTGGGAGGATTGCTTTTTCAATGTGCCATTCATATACCCCCATGCACTACATAGTGATGGAATTGGAGCTCCCTTTTTCCCACTTACTGGAGGTATCTATGGACTTCTCATAAACTCATGAGACTATTCCCCGCTCCCAAATCATAAGGTGCCTTTTTAAAATGGATTTCGTTAAATCTCTTTGGCATATGAGCCACATTAACTGAACTGAACTGAAGGTAAAAATGGCTTGATCTTTCCCTTTCTTTTTTTAGCGTACCGTAACCCACAAATGAATGTTTCAAGCACAACACCATTGACATTTTGGACCAGGACGTTCTTTATGTATGTATGTGGAGTAGAGGAAAGCTGCTCTGCATATTACAGGATATCATCAGCAGCATCTCTGTCTTCTATCCACTGAATGGCAATAGCACCTCCAGATTGTGATACCAATAAATGTCAAATGCCTCCCCAGGTGGGGGAAAAATTATCCCTAAGTAAGAATCATTGCCCTAGTAAAGATTATGCTCTTTTCCTCTCCTCATTCAATACAACAGTATCTAGTACTGTTCCTTGATTTATTTTCCAATATACTTGCTGTATTTGCCCTGATTCATTCCCATTCTTTCCCGGTTAGCACAGGAACGAATGCAAGGACAGGTTAGTTCTTCATTCAAGATCCAATCTCCAAAGATATTAACTCAATTACTTTGGCCTTATTAGCATAAAACTATTTCATAGGATTTTAGAACTGTAACTACTGGACACTAGAAAAAAAGATTAGTAAACAATTCAATAGATGATGGCAGAATATATGGTTAAAATACAATTATGTGGTATTAAAGTATAGCTTAAAGTAATGAAATATGTTACCCTTTTTTGCTGAAATCATAGGGCAAAATATTGATTAAAACCATTAAGGTTATATATGTATATTTTTCTTTACTGGATCAACCATATAGTTATTTCCAGCAAACCCTGCACCTGAAAATTACTATCTAAAGAAAATAGTCAAAATCTGGAAGTCCTCCCCCCACACATGAGATACTGAAGGAAATGAACATTGGGGTTTACATTTCTAAACCATTCTCCAACCACGTGGTGCAAGATAGGATTGTAAACTATGTCCACTTTCATGCAATCTATTTTAAGCCCCCAAGTTTGATGACAAAGAAGTTAATATGGCTTCCAATAGTGCCTAACTTGGCCTTAGGGAATAGATTATGCTGGGAGAACCTTGCTCATTATGGCTTATTTCATTGCATCAATCATGCAACAAATATTATAGAATTAAACAAGGGTTTATGAGACAAATATTATAGATCAATCTTCAGAAGCCAGCTCTACATGTAGCCAAAAATCCTCATTGGCAGAACAAAATTGAAATCCCTTAATGAATTCTGTTACCGTGGCAGCATACTGTCAAATTATGCACTAATAGCAAAAGAGCTAGAAAACCATACCAAGAAACCAGCATGTGTTTTGGCAGGCTAGAAACCAGGGTCTGGTGCTGAGCTTCCAAACATTCTAAAGTAGAGAACTGACATCCAAGTAAGCCAACATCCTTGTGTAAGCTCTCCAGGCTTTTGGATATTAATCCTAGAATAGCTCCTTGAAAATGAGAGGTTTTCATTTTTTTCCTTTTATCACTTTTTCTTACAAGGGTAATTAGCTATTAGTTGCTTTAACAATAAAAGGCACGCCAAAAGGGTAATGACTCTATCCAGGACTATAGTCACATTTTAGGGCACAGAGTTTTAATTTATGAGTCAATAACTATATTAAATCAATCTCTGTAATTAAAGTTGTGGGCAAGATTTAAAGGCAATTAGCATAATGCAAGGGTGACCAGACATAACTTAGGAGAATGAAGACATACAAGTTGTCTCTACAATTTATTTCTTCTCTCCTACATCTTTGTTGCAGCACTGTGTTTTGCAATCAGCTTCCTAATACTCTGGCACACACATTACAAACTTTACCAGAAACACTGCTCTGTTCTCCATTTCCTTTATTCTTATTTAAATCCAATATAGTATTTCCTCTCTTGAATTTCCCTTTTCTTTCCCAGGAATCAGATAATCCCTCTTCCCTCTCTTTTTTGTAAAGAAAGGAAAAATTATGAGATGAAGAAATGGATTTCAAACTTTGTTCCCTAAAAATATGAAGGTTCCATGGAGGTGGTTACTGAGCTCCAGGCAGGGAGGGGGATAAATGAGAGGAAATGATGGGCTCTCAAATTCTCATTCTGGCTCTTGTGATAGCCTTTTCCCAACAACATTTCATTTAAAGAAGAAAATATCGACAATTCCATATCGCTCATCAAGTAGAATACACACTGCTATCAGGTTGAGTGTGTCTATGTAGGGCATTTGACTAAAGGAAAAGAAATTGTGCTGAAAAATAAAACAGAGGGTTCTGGGCTCGTGATTATTCCTCCTTTTACCACCTCAAATACAACCCAAATTGAAAAATTGTAAAGTACTTATTTTTCTCCTATTTCATAGTAACTTCTTCTCTTTAAATTCTTCTAGCAAGATTTAACAATATCCAAAGCATGTATAATAGAGTATTTCCATTGAATAAAGAAAAAATAGAAAATGCTAAAGATGTAATTAAATAGTGAAAATAAGAAACTAAAAATTATCTAAAATAATATATCTATTTTTACTCAAAGTTTATGTATCATAATTTCTATGGCTAAATTTTTTAGGAGAAAAATAACATCTCTTTTAATCTTAAGAATATTTTGACTTGGGGCAATTCATTCTTAAAACAAAAATGTACTAAATTTTGTAGATTGTAAAAAGATGAAAATTTAATTATAAAATTTAAAAATATATTTCTAACAGAAACATTTTGAACTCAGTCCTATATTGATAAAATAAATTCTGGGATTTATAGGAACTGATGTTAAAGAGTAACACTACTTCACATCAATATTAAAGAGCACAATTTATCATTATTTTTATCCATATTTGCTGATTAATCTTAAATTAACTGCTATTAAATAAGTTTTAAAATAAAAGGTTTGATAGTGTCTTTTCTATTTACCTTGACATTACTTTCTTCATCAAATAACTTCATCTGAATGTTTTTCCCTATATGAAGAAAACTATTACTTCAAGTAATTATAAAAACTTAAAACATTTTCTTTTCTTTTAAAAATATTGTATTCTTCAAATCTAAAAGTGACTTAAACAAATCTTATTATAATAGAAAAATATGTAAAACTATATTTTAGGTTATACTGTGCCAGTAGATTTTGACTATAAAAGGAAGAAAAAAAAATAAGCAGCTTATTAAATAATGTACTTCCAATTTGGTATCGCAGCCTATTTTCCTACTATATTAAGCAGGACCTATTTTGGCCTGATACAGCTTTAAAGACTGATATCAAGCATATTATTGGAAAAATATTTAAATAACCCCCTTGTACTTTTAATGTTGCCTGGAAGAAGAAAAGAAATCAAATTAGGTAAGCCAACAAAATAGAAATGTATAATCATAATAACGTAACACTTAAATCTAAATCAAGTTTTAGTGTAGAGTATATTTTTAGATATTTTCATAGAAATAAAAAATACTGTCTCATTAAGAGCAAAACTTTGTCTCATTAAGACATTTTCAGATGATTTTATTTGTGCTTATAGATATTTAATTCACACTATATCAATTCTTTCAATGTTTGGTGCATTCCAACTATGAACAGTAAAATTACCATTTAAGAAATAATGCAAGAATGCAACTCTTCTAATAATATTTGCCCCAGTGAGCTGGGTAATTCTTGTAAATTAGTCTTTTGGTCTGAGAGATTTAGATAATTACTTAATTCTGTACTTCAGGTTTAATATTCAGATACTACTCAACTGTAATCACATGATAAATGATTTCTTTCTTTAGTAAATTAAATAAATATTGAGCAAAACATTGTATTTGATCCATATATGGAATTATATACTCCCCCATTTTTCAGAAATTGTCTCTAATTTTTTCTTATTTTCAAATTTGTTTGGTAGATCAAGAAAGATTTATTAAATCAAAGAGTTTTTAGTAAACATAAGTGTCTACTCAGAATGAAATTAAAATTATTCTTTATTCATTCAATATAAACAATGATCACATTACCTTAAATATGGGGGAAAATCAATACATTGTTCATTGCAGCTGGGGTGTTATTGTAATTAAAATTTTCTTTTTCATTTTCAGAAGTATTTTTAACTTACGGAAAAATTGAGAAGTAATTTTCACTTACCCGCTTCAAATTTTTATTCATGAAAAAACTAAAGCCAGAATATTATGGTGCCAATACCATAGTTCTTATTTATGAACTTAAAAAAATGGTATTAGCTATTGCAATTTAGAGTTTATTGTGTTTTACATTAACATACTCATGTTTTGTGACTTTTTAACAGGCAATAACTTCAAATCTCATGGTGGATACAGATTTTTGCTGCAAGGAAATAACTGTAAGTGTTTATGTACATGCAATAACTTTTAAAAACTGTAATATTTTAATATTTAGTGTTCCATTATTGCTTAAATCCATGAAATATTAATATGATTACTTAAATTTGTTCCTCTATTTTGTAATTTTGATAATACATATTCACTGTAATGGTATGAGTATTTCTCATAGAATTCTAATAGATTAAAACCAAATCATTTTACTATTGAAATCTAAGCCATGACCATCTTTACACTTTGCTTACTCTTTATGCTATGAATTTCATTTGTACAAATACAATATTCACTTTCTCTTTGATGAGCTGATTATTTAGAGTCTTGGTTTTCTATGTGTAATTATTTGAAAACTGATAAATTTTGGAGTGTGGATCAGTTATTTTGGATGCTAATTTTACTTGGAGCAACTCATCTTTAATAATGTTACATGTTAAATATTTTTCATATAAATGTGAACTATGTTATACTCAGAAATAGTGAGAGGACATTTTTCTACCAGATGGAACTTAATGACAAAGTAGGATGGAGCATCTTCTTAGTTTTTCTGCCTTGTAATTTTCATAATGGTTTAAATCTGTTTATTTCAAATTTGAACATAAGTAAATTTGTTTTACCTGCCATCCTGATTATCTTTGTCCCTTTCTGTATATTCATGGAATTATTTGAGGATGATCTCTATTCCAAATTGAATAGGGTGGTATCAGCCTGGTGCAGGTTCTTTGGTTATCCAGGAATTAAGACATGAGCTAATAAATGTAAGAACAAACAATTCACTTGCAGAGGCATCTATCTCACTGAAACTTTTAGAGACACAAAAATGCTCTCCAAATGATAAATTTTTGATTTTATAAATAGCTCAGATTTGTGCCACATTATCTCCTCCAGTAGATTTCTGCTGTGTTGTTCAATTTGAGCAGGGTTTGTTCTACTCCGTGTTTCTTTCTGATGCCTCCTCTGGATGTGGTCTTGACTCAACAGTTGATCTATTTGACAATCAATATACTTGTTCTATAATCTTCAAATTGACATGCCCTTCCCAGTCAATTACAGTATCTTTCTTGAGTGCAATAAACTAAATATTTTTCACTTTGGGAATTCCGATCTTGTTTTTTTGTTAATAGTTGGAGAGAAAGGTGTTAGTGAATAAACTATTAGGATTTGTATAAAATATTAGCTGATACTAGCACTGTGTGATAATCTAAACATGAAGCAAAATTATTCATGAAATATATCGAACTATTTCTGTCTTATTATGGATGGGAAAGAGGAAGTAGATCAGATAAAATTCCTTTATAAATAAGAACTATGGAATACTCATTTTCTTATATAGTAACCAAGCAGAGAACACTAGTTGAATATTTGCTAAGCGACACTTTAACCTATTTAGTTCAAATTGTCTGTCACTTAGAAAATGTTTCATATACTTTAATTTTTAAATCATGTTTACTGTTTCCACAAACAATAAAATATAGATATGTATATATACGGTGTCATAGAAAGTACATTTCTGTTTTTATAAGTATATTAGATATATATTTATGTAAATATATTCATATAAATATCTATTTATCTATCTATTTAAAATCACATATTCTTAGGACCCAGAATATGAAGCTATACATACAGAATTTCATTTATCTTTGGGTTATTCTATGTTAATTTTATCTCTACCTTCTCAGCCTTAGTGTGCCTTTTATTCATAGATTTAGCAGCTCTTGAGGAACAAGGTACATAGACTTAGATATCAGAGATTTAGAGAAGATTTTGTTCTTGTTTTCTAGTTGCTCACAAGTTGCTAAAGTTAATACAAGCATTTAGCAACTATTTCCATTCATTATGATAGGAGTTGTGATACAAGTCAGGATATAGCACTTAAGAAATAAGGGGTGGGTATCCAGTTATTCCTTGGGAAATAAAGCAGTATTTTCTGCAGAAGCATTTCTTACACCACAGTAAGTACAGGTAATAGCTACCTTGTCAGAGTAAGGTAATAAGCCCAGAGCCTTACTCTAAGGTCTTTGTTCTTAGCCTCTTTTATTGTATGGTAAGAAAGGGCCTCTCCCACTTGAGAGTTGTTATAACTTGACTGGCTATTTTAGGCTCTTAGACCCCAGATTGGGCCACAAGTTTTATTTACTTTTAAATTATATAAACAGAGCAAGTATGTTATCCAAAATATTAAATTTTCTTACATTTTACAAAAGAAAAAGAAACTGAAGTAAAACTGTAGGAATGATGAACTTCAGATAAATGTTTCTTCAAAACAAAATACAGGCACATTCTTAGATAAGCTTCCTTTGGTCTCTTTGTTTTCTCAACGTGATAATTGTGAAATTTATAGCAGAGCCTCACATTCAAGGCCGAGTTAGCAAAAAAAGGATATATGTGCAATTTAGTGTATACATATGGTGCGAGAATAAAATATGTATATATATTTATATATAGGTGTGTGAGTACCCAGGTGTGATATATGTTTTATACACTAAGTAAAGTGGGTTTTTTAATAATGTAGCTCCCCTACCAACTTTGTCTACTTTGTACTTATCTGGAGGTGGAGGAGGAGGGAACTGGGGCCCTGGCACTGATGTGAGTCAGGTTGCTTTTCAGTTCTGTTTATTTTTCTTACCTACTCTCTCTAGCAGGAGTTTAACTCTTTATTTGCCAGAAATCCCGCTTAAGACCCTTAATTTTCCCTGCCTGTCCCCCAACTTTCTCTACAGTAGGAGATCGGTTATTTATTTTAGATTAACTGTCTTGTTTGAATAAACAAATTTATATGATAATTATTGAACGAATTGCCCCTGGAAATGAGACCAAATTGAAAAAGAAGAGAGGCAAATTTTAAAATAAATAGTTGCAAGAGCAGAAAGATTTAATTCAGAGGCCTCCTCTACTCTTATTCCCTGGAGGTATCAGAAATGATAGAGCCCAATTCAAAACTCTGGGAAAACCAATTGGCTATAATTTGTATGACCCTTTGTTCTATCTCCTAAATACTGTCGAAAACAGTACGAGTAGGCTCATATGACCATTAAAGTTTATAAAATTAAATACATTTACAAATTTATATCCCCATTTGCCTTTATCATATTTCCATTGGTAGAAAAATGTGTCAAGTGGCTGGCTACTCAGTTGGACAGCATAGATATTTCCAAAAGTCATACTAGACAACAAAATTCCAAATGTGTAGAGAACTTGTAAACGAATACAATTTTGACAGAAAATTAAACCCAAAACTGCTGGTAAAGTTACTCCCCGGTTCATGGACATAATTCATTCCACTCTTCTGGAAAAGATGGCTACATTCATGGTCTCATAGGAAAGATGTCTGCAGTTGTGTTCATCATCTGATGTAGAGTTTGCAAAGTTTGGAGTATTTTGCCAAATGTTACTGTACTCATAGTTTCTTAACACTTTTGTAAATAAAAAGACTTAGTCATATTGCTATTTCATTGTTAGTCTAATAAATAATACTTGAATTTGATAAAATGATAAACATTTTTAGTCTCCAAATTCATAATTCAAGCATTTTTCTTTTCTACCAGTAATAGACTTAACTAAAAGCTTCACTGGCTCTCATTGAATAACTGACAAAAAGCCCACAGAAGCAAATCACAGGGTCCACTAGAGGAAAAGACAATTTTTCTTAAAACATCTTATTTTCTAAATGCTTTTTAAGAAACTGGGTTTCTATTTTTAATTTATTACTAAATATCATTGATGCCAGTTCTCACTAAAAGATGATAACATTTGGAATTAAAGAATCTTATTAGAGTCCAATTTTCAGAGCTCAATGTGTGAAATATAGTTCACTGCCTCTGACCTCTTAAAATGTTTGAGACAAAAAAAGGAGTCTTTAATAATAGTGTTACCAAATTATAGGCTATATTATTTCTGAGGGAAATATACTTTGATCTTAGAGGGAAAAATAAAGTTGCTCTCTAGTTTAATTGCACACAAACTTAGTTCATTAATTGTGGTCTGTAGGTTAAGGGAAATTTCACACTTTGTTGCATGTTCATTATAAACAGGGTATTTGATCTTCCTTTACTATTATTTGCAAATGAGATAAGGGAGTGCAGAAATCAGTGGAAAATAATGTAGAAAAAAAGAGGTGAATACCTAGAGTTAACTTATAACTTGAGCTTTGACCTAGTTTTTACAGAACTATCTCCATGATATTATTTACTGGCTATAAATTATTTGCATCTAGGAGTTTATCAAACACTATAAATTTTTATATGCATCACATGTTCTTTTAGACCAAACAAGTCTACATGATGCTCTATCTTCTAAGTGTATACAAGTTTATCAGTTGATTTATCTAATTCAACTTTAATGATCAAAACTTAATTTTACATCCCTTGGGACACACCTATAATCCCAGCACTCTGGAAGTTGAGACAGAAGGATCACTGTAAGTTTGAGCCCAGCCTGGGATACATAGTGAGTTCAAGACCAGTGTGAACTACACAGCGAGATCCTCTCAAAAAAAAAAAATTTACATCCCTTCATTCAAAAAATATCTTCATTGTATGTTTTCATGCCTATACATTTTCTTCATATGCAAGTTAATCTAAAGCATCATTGTTTTTATCATATCCCCCCTCAGTTTTTAAAAAAAATCTTTCAGTTTACACATTTAGCCTACAGAATTAAAATTTTCCTTTAATCTAGTATTCAAAGCCTTTCTAATCAGTCCTGGTCCACAATAACTTATACCCAGTGAATTGAACTATGTTTTCATTGTTCTATCTCTTCTCTACTTGCTAATGAACTTGCCCCTCTAAGTGTCTTCCCTATGTCCTTGTTTAGTTTTGTGTTTCTACCTCAAAATCATCCTTTAAACCACTTTTTTAGGTAACCATAGTCTCTAGTGGCCTAAATCCCATCTAAATTTTGCCACTATTCCTCACTTTCATAGAGTTAATTCCATATGTACATATCATCCCTTGTGATCATTCTTAAAATAAAATTTAATTAATGATCAAGACTTATTTAAGTC